ATGAGTTAGTGAAAGTGAAGTAGTGATCAATAATGTCAGCTGATTTTTCCTTTAACCTCATAAATAAACCACAACAACAAAGCCCTTTCAAATGAGTAGCTTTTTCATTAAAAAAAAGGTCAACACTGTTAAGGGTAATAGGTTAAGCAACGGTGACCTTTAGTACTTAATACCAGAAAATCCAATTGTTGGATTATGACCGTGTTCTCTGTTACACATGTTGTATTGTAGATCAAAACAAGCCACATATAGGTCACATGGGGACAGAGTAGTGGTTCGGAGTAACCCAGCAGTTGTATTGCTGTTGCTACAGAATCACAGAAATGATTCAGTGCACAAGAAAGCCACTGGCAGAGAATAGCTGTTTCTGTGTTGCAGTGAAATTCTATATAATGTACCCCATCATGTTTGTGCTACGAGCTCCCTCCATTGAAGCTCTCTGCTCCAAACACATTCCTCTGCTATATCCCCAGAATTTTGAATATTATTTTTCTCAAGTATTGATCTAATTCCCTTTCAATATATTTTCCATTAAAACATACTCAAAGAAATCACTAACCATCAACTTATATTCAGATCAAAACTAAAATCTGAGGTCTGAAATTGTATGTCACTGAAAAAAATCTTAGTGTTGGCAATTGATCAGCATAGAAACTGTAAGCCTGAACTTCCACCTTGTCTTAGTTTGTAAAGCAACTTTGTCTTCAAATTTAACATCATGGATGGTTGTAGAAAATCTTTAAATTTAGCCTTAACATGGAAACGCATTTTTAGCAGTTAAAAATAATTGGCTTTCAAATTGAGACTACATTTAAGAATTATCCACAATTCTATGCAATTCTATGCAATCTTAAATCTTAAACAAAAATCTTGTACAGCATTAAGTTGATGTGGAATTTAAGCCTTTCTACATTTTGTGTGCAGTATTTTTTTAGGGGTGGTCAAAAAAATGCATAAAAATCACAGGGAGGACTAATTACTCCAAGGAGAAATTCGTTAATTGTTGCCTGTTTAACTGAAAGAGCATGTGGAAATGATCTATTGAGGCATAAATGTACCATCAATGTCAAGAGTTGCTTGCTTGCCTTACTAGGGGTCCATGCTACCAGCGTACAGGCCCCCTCATTGCATTATGTCTCCAGAAAAATGTACAAACATTGCTGCCTTGATCACTTTCATTCACTCCTTCCATTTACTTTATGCAGTCCTAGGCTCTTGGAAATGCAAAAACTATTCCTGGACACTGTATGTATTTTCATTGCTAGATTGAGCAATGCGCTGTGACTATGGAGTTAATTAATAGAGTCCACCATCACAATGCTGTGAAGGAGAATGGCTGTAAATCTCAGGCAGATTTCCTCTAAACCCGCTGCACCAAAAGTCAACTTGTACCACCCTTGCGAAGAAAGTCATGTGTAATCGTTTTGTAGGTTCAAGCACCTTATTAAACCAAACTCAGTGTAACAGCAGGGGGACAAGGATGCTGATCAGGAATTAGGTCATTCTGGTGAAGGAACAAATGAGAGGGACACAACGTGAAGTTATCTTATCAGACAACAGGCTGCCCAAATATAGTCCTCAATACTAAAGGGAGGGAACAGTGAAGTAGATTCCTTTAGTAGACAGTGTCACCTTTAGTAAACATTGAAAATACATTTCACTCACAAAATACACAGTCAATCCACTTTATAGTATATCCCGTGAAGCAGTTTGAGTGAGTCATCTCAACGACGTGATAAGGTGCTATATTAAATATTATTATTAAAATGCTTTAGTAACATCCTGAAACATAATTTAAAGTGCTGTGGAACACATATTGTCTCATGGAAATTTGAAGCTAAGAACAGAGAGGGATGGGAGAAATGCACTATTCAAAGGGACAGTGAAATGTGAAGAAATCAGATCGTAAAATTCCACCTGAGTATAGATTTGCTCTATTAACATAGCATTTCAGGGCACACACAATTAGTAAACTCTTAAACGCAGCCTTATTTTTGAAGCCGGCTTTCTGTAAGTTCTTTTAACTAACTACAGAAAACCAGCTTCAAAGATAAGACTGAATTCAACAATTTGCCAAATTCTGGCTGTTCTGATTTGTTATGTTAATAGAATTCATCGAGACTCAGGTGGAATTTCTAGCCAAATAATGGCTAACATTAAGATCAGAAAGAGGGAAACAGGAACAGAAACAGGCCACTGTTTGTATCAGATAACAATTGTTGCCACAGTGTGTGTGTAGTAGTAATTGTAAATTTTGAGTTACCCTCCTTGAGTTACCAGTGCTACAACGGTGCACAAGCAGATAATGCAGATAATGTGTCTTGCCACTGTCAACATCACGACACCAGAAAACTAGTACTAATCCAGGCCTCTGTGTCCTTCGTGTCAAACTATGATGAATTAATAATTGCTTTTTGTAATACCAATTTGTAAAGACATCATCACATTTCTCTTTATTTTCTAAACCTCATCACTGCTCAGTAGTACTAAGGATCCAGTCAATTTGCTCGTGTGAGGCTTTTATAGATTAAACGCTCATGGAATTAATGACAAATTAGATGCTTGGATTGGAAAGGGAATTTGCCGAGGGAAGAAGGAAGGGATTCTTAAGTCTGAAAATGCTTGTTGAAGACAGTAACTACTGTAACAAGAGTTTTGTAAAGGTCTATTCACTCTATTCATAATGATACATCAAAATAATTATTATTTCTAATAATACTATTTCCCAATAACATCAAATTGCATGGCCAGAGCATTTGTATAAGGGATTTGGACAAATTAAGGAATGGTAGATGGATTTTACTCTGGATAAGTAAAAAATAATATGTATTGGACCAAGAAACAAAGCACTTAATAATGAGGCTGAAAAAGTGTTCAAAGAGCAAAAACACACATAACTGGCAAATGACTAAAACTAATCCCTTTCCAATTTAAACTGCATTTTACTTCAGCAGTAATCCAATGCATTCTCAGGTGGATGCTAAAAGATCCCATAGCATTATTGGAAGAGAGAAGGAAGTTTCTCCCAGAGTCCAAGCCAACATTCCCCCAAATAAAATTGGGCATTCACATCATGGCTATTCTAGGGACATTGCAGTGCACAAAATGGCTGCCACATTCGCCTACAAAATACAGTCATTTACATTTTACAGTTTATCCTTTAAAACATCGTCCCGACAGGAAAGGAACTATGTTAAGGATTGGTTTTTTTTCAAAAAGTACTCTGATGTGTGGTATGACACCCAGACACACAACCTGTACAGCAGACACCCAGCTGACCCAAAAAAAACATTTTCTGTCAACTCTTGCATTCTGAGCTCTGAGGCAATCCTGGGTGGGAGCTAAGGGAGCTAAGGTTGACCTAACATGCATGAGATTCCGTGCAGAAAATTCAGTTTACATTGCAAGGGAATTTTTTTCCAATATTGTTGTAAAAGCAAAGGTTAAAGCAGCATGGGTAATACTTATGGGAAGAGTTCTTCCCTTGACTCTGTTTTTTATATTGTATTTGTGTATACAATATTAACATTCTTGTTACTCAAGTTTTGAAGTAATAAGAAAGTTAATAATATTGTAAGGACGTACCTATCCTTCCCCGTATTTGAACATTCATTTGCACACATGAAGCAAATTAGGTCTCTTTATAATGTAGTGCTAAACCTTCTTCTCCCATATTGTGGTGCAAACACAATCTGTACAAACACAGCCTAGATTTCTTCACTCAGCAAAGTGTTTGGTTGCCCTTCAACATTCCAAACTCAAAACATGTACCAGCTAGAATTTGTAACAGCAGCTGGAACAATTATCATATATAGAGAAAATATTTGCCAAATAATCTTGTATTTTAAATTGCCAAACACTGCAAATCTAGTTGGCAAAATGTCTAGATGTTATTGTTACAATTTGAAACTCTTTGTGGTTAAAATACTAAATCCATCAAGAATGCTGAAATAGTAAAGACCTATGATTTGTATATAATATACACCACGGTATTCATACATGATGAAATGAGCATTTCTCTATTAGTATTACTTGGCATTACTCCAGCATTTGCTTTAATATGCTTAATATTATTATTAATAAACGATCCATATAATTGATATTTGTCTAGAAAATATGTCATTAGATTTAATGAATGACATTTCTGTTAATGTGGGTTTTCTTTCATTTTCTTTTCTTTAAGGCAATGCGGGCATCATTTAGATGGCAATATGGGTGATTGAAAAGGCACCCAAAAGATAAACGGCAGTGTAAATAGCACAACAAATTACATTTGTATAGCGCCTTTCATGTCGGGAGGACGTCTCAAAATGCTTCACAGAATATATTGTAAAGTGGATTTACTGTATATTTGTGGGCAGAACACGGCAGCCAAGGGAATGAGAGGGAACAATCCCAAGTCTTTGTCCATCTCCCTCCCACAGCCCAATACATCCCCTCGCTCTGCAAGTCTTCATCCATCTCCCTCGCACACCTTAATCCATTCCCTTGCTTCCAGAAAGAAAAATGACACCTTGACATGACTTGACAAAAAATGGCACAATGGCAGGAAAATTAATTCAGGATTTAAAAGGCATCTAGTTATATGTGTGTGTGGGAAGGGACCTACAGGGCTCTGACCTGAGATCACCTTGAGCCAAGTTCTTATGGTTTGAGGTGATGCACAGGAGAGAGGAGACAGACTTTACATGCCAAAATATTTCTTCTGGTATCAACATACAGTTTACTCTGCCGTTTTTCTGACAAACACTCTTTGAACCCCATTGAAGGAAATCAGGCCTAGGATTACACTAATGAAATATTTTATTCCGTCCCATTTAACATTGCCCCAAATGCTATCTTTTATTTGGTAATTGTTTAATGACCAGAAATACACATTTAATATTAGCCTGAGGCCGCAATGAAATCGTTACACTGAATGAAAGGTTCAGACATAATCATTGCCCTTTACAGCATATTCTGGATGCAAGAGGGAAGATTGATATGATTTTGTTACTCACCAAGCCATCCGGTGCTGGCGTTTTCTACACACATATCTGTCTCAGCGCTCGGCAAGACAAATCCCACCACAAACATCTCCACCCCGTCAGCCATGAGAGACAATCCTAAGACAAAAAAGAGTCCCCACTGGAAGCGACCGTGTCCGCACTCCTGGATGATGAGCTCGTACTGCTGTGCCAGCTCCTCCTCATCAGCTCTCCTCTCCGCATCAAGCTCTTCACGGTCCTTGTATTCATCCGAGATTGGTTGCCCTATGGCTACCTGGTTCTCCTTGTTTTGAGCCAGGTTTGGAATTCCCTGATATTCTCCTTCATAAATCTCATCCTCATCATCATGGCCTTCTGTAGCTTCACTTGATCCTTCATCTTCATGAGTTTCTTCACCATAAGTTTCACCTTTGTACTTGTAGTCCTCCTCATCATCTTGATAATGGCTATAATACTTCTGGGTGTATTCTTCTGGATGGTCCGCGCCTTTGTTCACCTTCTTTACCGTGTGTCTTTTAACCTCCTTGGCAATGTCTTTGGCTCCCTTCTTGAGGGCAGTCCTGTCCATGTAAGCATCATCCATTCTTAGGCAGCCTTTCTTCAGTAAACAGACTGATGTAGGCGATTTACTGAACAGCCACGAATGAACTGACCAGATTGGGAGACTATGGTTTGGGCTTGTATGTTTAACTCACTCTCTCAGGTATCTCAAGTCTTTAGTGGTGAAGTTTCAGCATTGTCAGCTGATAATTGATGATTTTGTTTCTTATTTTCTCACCATCAGGAACCTAGCAAAACAAAGGGAAAAAAAAGAAATTTCGCTGTAAGGCATGACACCAGCCAGGCAAATGAAAAGCTTAAAATGATACAGAAGAAAGAAAAAGGGCACAATCCACGTGTTTGCATGTTAAGGTCTAAAATGTGATACTGTCTTCACCAAAATTGCCAGCTCCAGTTTGCTAATATCACATTGTCTGATTTGTGTACATTTGGCAGATAAGAATGGCAAACCCTAAGCCACCAAACCCTAAGCCACCTATATTGTCCCAATGGCTTTTTGCTCCAGTCTTTCCCTTCGTATGTTGCCAGCTTGTCAGCTTCACAATTTATCATTTTGCAAACCTCACACAAATCTTTCAATTCAATATTCGCTACTGCAATTAACATAATGTTTGTTTTGCGGACATTGTATATTAGATCTAGTAACTTGTAGTCTAAGTTAAAAGATTCCTTAAGACTTAAGTAAGGCTTAAGTATTCAGTATGTTATAATAATCCTTGCATTTAATACTGGGACAAAATGCCACAACATTGCAAAGTGCTTTACTGAGATTACTCTTAGTGCAAAACAAATATATTGTAGGCAAACACATCAGCCAGTTTGCACACAGCAATGTCCCTCAAATAGATTGAAATGGCATACCTGCAAATAGATGGAAAGATCGAAGAAATGTGGGAGACGAGCACCAGGACTCCTCAGACTGGACAGAGATGAAAGGCAGCCTGATAGAGAAAGGGAAACAAAAAATATCAGCATTACCATAGAAACAGACATCATAATAAGGAAACATGATTCCATTTGATCTTTTATTACTTTTACAGTCAATTCCTTTTAGGATTTTGGAAGAAAAAAAAGCTTCCAACCCAAGATTATGCTAAGAAAGTGCTATCACTTTTATTGGCAATGTTTTGTTTGCCAGTGATGTGTATTTTGAATTACACATGAGCTGGAAACTAATAGTGAGACATTTTGTTAGATCAGTCAGTCGTGCGTTTCTGAATTGCAAGGCACAAAGGAGTTCAGAGCAACTGTATGAACCAAAGCAGATTGATTAAATAAAAATCCAGACTTTGAATGGAAAATCTAAAAATGTAAAAAGACATCCTGAATCTTTTGGATTCAAGGGTAATGGGTTATTTCAGCAGGAAATTGAGGATTCATTTGATTTGGACAGAACTTTGTGAAGTAAGAAACCTAAATATTAGGAAAAGGGAAGAAGGTTAGGGCACAGCCTGATACCATTTGGTTGGTTTCTATGCAAGATGAAAAAAAAAGCTTTAATTCAGATTATATTATTATTACTTTTAAGTATTACGCGTATACACTCGCCTAAATACATAAGACCAAAAGGATTCTTGGTTATCGCAGGACTTATAATGTCTGTGCCCCACAGTTACAAACATGGGCCACTTTCCACTGATTAAATGACATTGAAGTCTGCCAGTGAAGTTGACAAGACAAGCAGGTTTGATTCATGTTCTGCTCAGCACAGTGTTTTCACATGCACATCCATGTGATGAACAAGTTTTACAGAAGCGATAGCATTGCTGTTTATCAAACAAATACATCTTAGTCACCCCACTGCAAAATGAAAAATATTTCAGAGTTATTGAAAGTCAATGGAATAACCTGTAATGCAGGTTGTAGGAATGCATCAATTGGCAGCTGTATTTCAAATCTTTATGAAATCTCTGAATTTACAGACTATTTCTGTACTTTCAGTCTTGTTATGCCTGCTAGAGCAATAATAATAATAATAATCCTTGCATTTGATATAGCGCTTTTCACGTATTCTAGACGTCCCAAAGCACTTCACAGAATGTACTGTAAAGTGAATTGACTGTATATTTGTGGGTGAACGTGGCAGACAATTGCGCACAGCAGTGTCCCACAAACAGTCATGGATTGAAAATAACCAATTTATTATTGTTTTGTTTTTTTGGAGGGATTATTATTAGGCGTGTGGGGTAAGGAAACTTGCCCAAGGCTTCGCCCTGCCTGGAATTGAACTCAGGTGTCTCACTTGCAAAGCGAGTGCTCTAGCTACAGGACTCCTATAATAACAATAATAATAATAATGATCCTTGCATTTTGATATAGCGCCTTCTAGACGTCTCAAAGTGCTTCACAGATTATGCTGTAAAGTGAATTGACTGTATATTTGTGGGCGAAACATGGCAGCCAATTGCGCATAGCGGATCCCAACAACAACAACTTGGATTTATATAGCGCCCTCCACGCCGGATGGAGTCTCAGTTGTGGAACAGTCATGGATTGAAAATGACCAATTTATTATTGTTTTGTTTTGGAGGGATTATCATCAGGCATGTGGAGTAAGAAAACTTGCCCAGGGTTTCGCCCTGTCTGGAACTGAACCCAGGTGTCTCGCTTGTAAGGCGAGTACTCTTAACCACTGAACTACAGGATTCAATTGTATTATGTTGTGTCAGGGTGAATTCAACTCCAGGATCTTTCAATAACCAGATCTATTAGTATTGCTCTTTGTCATACACCTACCCATGGTATAAAGAACATTCTTATGGCTCTTTCAATAACAGTTGCAAAACAACCACTAGAAAACCTGGTTTTCTAAGGTTCTCAAAAACATCTTAAAGAAGTGGCTGTCCTAGGACAATATTTTGAAAATAAGTACATTAAATGTCTTTCTGGTGGTTTCAGAATCAAACATTCACCATTCCAGTGGGGAAATGAGTGACAGGCTGTGTATATGCAGTGAATGTCTATGTTTTTAAGATATCCACAGTTTTCGAGGTTAATGGGTAAAATGTCCTTAATCCACCTTGTGTTCTCTAATTACTGTTATCTGCAGCTGGCTAACAAGAATGTAATTATGTTGCTTTGGCTATACATAAAATGGCATTATGTAAGATATAGGGCATTAAGAATATTTAAAATTTAACATTGCCTTGTTCCATTTCTAATTAATTTTGTTTAACTCTGTGGAATTGAGTGCTCTGTTTAAATATTTCAGCACTCTGGATAGCTCAAGGATTTGGTTGCAAAAGGGAATTACTCCTACAGCTGTAACTCCTAGAGCTGCTTTGCAAATGTCAAAATACCACATAGTGCACACAGAAGAGGTAAGAGAGGTTTGTCTATACCAAATGCACTTTAAATATTTAATGAGTTGGGATAGGGAAGAACACAGCTCAGGTACCACCCAGGTTAACACACGTAATTGGCACAAGTTCATCTCGATTGTACAACATAGAAGGCTCACAACATCACAAGAGAAGTTCAACAAATAAAATAGTTCTTTGACCCATTTAATCACATCCTTCAAGAAACTCCCAAAGTATGTACTAACAGCGATACTGAGTCTCTTTGATTTCTTGTAACTCTACTCCACCAGCACTCCCCCTATTCCGTCAACTCCAGCTCAATTTGTACTCTTGCCGAATTTGTCCTCCTCACAAGCGAGCCTTCAGCGTCTCATAGAAATTCCCTCTTCCGTGTCCTCTCAGCCTCTCACAGATATTCCTTTCAGCCTATCACAGAAATTTCCTCTTGATTGTCCCTTCCCTGTTTTCAATTGCCTCCTGGAGATTTACTTCGTTGTCTGTGCTTTCATTCACCTTCCAACACCCACCAGCTCACGCTCCTGCTTACTTAATCTTTGCAAACCACTTAAGATATTCTTCTAATGTGAAACATGTTATTTCAGTATATGTTTTTGTGGCTGAGGCAAGAAAGAGGAAGGTATGTGCAATTTGAGAATTAGTCAATGAAAGACAATCTCAGCCCCACCCCCCTTCTTGAGCTTTTTTAAGAATATCACATAGTTCAATCCTGAGATTATAACACCTGTCCCTTTGGTTAATGCTTTCATTACATCGAGGCTTAACTATGCACATTCATTGCTTGTCAGCCTCCCCAACTCCTCCCTCTGTAGACTGCAGATCATCCAGAACTCTCCCGCGCCAGGCTCCGTAACTCACCCCATCCTCGTCCAACTACAGTTCAAGATCCTGGTCTTCATCTTCAAAGCCCTCCACCATCTTGCTCCCCCCTACTTCTGCAACCTCCTAACCCCTTACCATTCTGTTCACTCCCTCCGCTCAGCGGGCTCCAGCCTGCTTCACATCCCCCGCCTCGCTCGCCCCACTATTGGAGGGCGGGCCTTCTGCCATTCTGCCCCCACCCTCTGGAACTCCATCTTGCAGTCTCTCAGTCTTGCCCCTCCCTTGCCTCTTTCAATGACCCATCTCAAGACCCTCCTCTTCGATAGTGCTTTCAATCTCCCTACCTCCATCCCCGACCTCCACCCTCCCTGATCCCAACCCCCAGCTTGGGTCTGAAACTCTGTCTTTTCCTGTGCCTTGGGACATCCTCCCTACATGAAAGGTGCTAGATAAATGTAATTTTGTTGTTGGTGGTGGTGCTGCTGTTTGAAGATTATAATTTACCAAACAGAAGAAACACAAGGGAAAAAAAATACAAGCAACAATGAAAACAAGCACTTTATATGAACAAGAAAAAATCAAATTGATGTTTTTAAAATAATAAAGGGATTCGATGGGGTAGATGTAAATAAACTATTTCCTCTGGTGGAGGAATTCAGAACAAGCGGGCGTAATCTTAAAATTAGAGCTAGGCCAATTAGGAATGAAATTAGGAGGCACTATTCACCCAAAAGCCAGTGGAAATCTGGAACTTTCTCCCCCAAAGGGCTGTGAATGATGGATACATTCACATTTTCAAGATTGAGGTTGATAGATTATTGTTAGGTCAGGGTATCAAAGGATACGGGGCAAGGGCAGGTAATTGGATTCAATGTACAGATCAACCATAATCTTATAGAATGGCAGAAGAGGCTTGAGGGGCTGAATGGTCTACTCCTGTTCCTATCTTTCTTTCTATGTTTCTAAAAAAATCTCCTAAAACAAAAGTAATGAACTCATGTTTTATACATTTCAAATTTTTAGGAGCAATTTATAGGATTAATCAATAACAATTAGATTTTACAGGGCAGGTATTCTCATCACTTCTCAGATGGACACAGTTTTAAATCTCATGCAGGTAACTCCTATAACTATAAACCAAGGGAAAGCAGAGCCATAGTCTTAAAGGCAACAGCTTCACAACCCAGGGCTAAGCATTATTACACATAATGGTTTTAAAATGGATTAAAGAAGCATCTGGACCTTAATAAAATGATATTTAGATGTAAAGCCTTATATCAACATAATAATAGTGCATTTCATTACAAATTATACTTTAAAATTAATTTGTTTAGAAATTGTTAAAATTAAAAATGTACTATTTTGATGTCAACATGGAATTCATCAACTGGATCTTTGGGTAAAAATTAAGAATTAAGTATCCACTCTTCTCTCGTTGGCAGTTCTGAATAAAATAATAATCCTTACATTTCATATACAGGAAATTCTGACAACTCATTGCTCCAAGGGAAAAGGGCTCATTGATGAGTTATCAGGAGTGGCGACTTAGGCATTTTAACTTAAGTGGTAGTGACAAGTTAATTCAGGGTTGAGTTATCAGGAGTTGACCATACAGCCTTTTATCATCTCAAAGTGCTTCATAGAATTCATTGTAAAGCATAGTGACTATGTATTTTTGTAGGCAAACGTGCCACCAATTTACACACAGCATTGTCCCATGAACAACCATGAAGCGAATATCCAACTTTATTTAGCCTATAAAATATCACTTTTATTCAACCAAATTCATTTGATTTTTT